CACACACACACACCACACACACACACACCACACACACACACATACACACACACACACCACACACACACACATACCACACACACCACAGTGGCTACTCTAGAACTCATGCTCCTCCTTCCTCAGGCTCCTGTGCTTATATAACTGACCAGTCGTGTTTCTACTTTCTTATTTTTTTAAGATTTATTTATTATGTATACCGTGTTCTAATCTCATTATGGACGGTTGTGAGCCACCATGTGGTTGCTGGGAATTGAACTCAGGACCTCTGGAAGAGCAGGTTCTTATCCTCTGAGCCATCTCTCCAGCCCATGTTTCCACTTTCTAACCCCACTACCTGTTGTTTCTGGTGACTGCCCACCTTCCCCATCTGAGTTATAACTTTACATTTCTTTTCATGTTTTTATGGGATATCTGGAGTTATGCTGAGTATTTGTGTCTCTGCAATGCTTCTGGGAATTCGCTGGGTTACTCGGAAGCTCGGGAACCTCTGGATCTTGTTTTCACAGATCAGGAGGGGGCAAAACTGCTTGGCCTGAATCATTCTCCCCCACTTCAACTGAGGCAAGCTGTTTATTTATTTATTTATTTATTTATTTATTTATTGAAACAGGATTTCTCTGTGGCTTTGGAGGCTGTCCTGGAACTAGCTCTTGTAGACCAGGCTGGTGTCTTTGAACTCAGAGATCCGCCTGCCTCTGCCTCCCGAGTGCTGGGACTAAAGGCGTGCGCCACCTCCTCCTGGCTGCAGGCCTTTTTTTTTTTTTTTTTTATTCTTGCTGGCGCTTGAGCTTTGAGGTCCAACTTGGGCGGTGGACACTGTATCTGACTAACCCCTAGTGGTTTCTATTCTCCTGGTATTTCCCTCCCTTGTCTTCGCTGTCCTCTCCAGAGGACTTCTGTGCTGGCCGGGGTTTTCTCAAGTCTCCGGAGCTCTGTGGATTATGTCTTCTTGCCTGCTACCTACATCTCATCTGGGCGCCACCTGAGGGTGATGAGGAAGGACAGTTGTTGGTCCAAAAGGGGCTGCTCCCTTTGCTGCCATGCCTACTGCTTTCAGTTGCTTTCACATACATTTGCCACTGGTAATTGGTTCAGGCGAGAGTGCAAATCTCATCCTTACTACATTTCAGTTCTCTGCAGATCTTTTTGGGGGCACGTGTGCTTTTCAGCCTACGCAGCTGATAAGAGGCCCTCCTCACAGTAGACTTGACTGTCTACCTTGTTCAGCCACGTTTCTAGGCCATCACCAAATCTGGTCTTACCGGGACTCAGAGAATGAGGATCACAGAGAATTAGGGACTGCGGGGACTTACCTGTGCTGGCAAAAGCCACAAACTCAAACTCCGTGATGCTACGGTGGATTGCCTACTGGACACGGAGTAGCCAACCGCCTAGGTTTCACTTTTAAAGGGGCAGGGCTTGTTTGCACTCGGTATACTTCGGTTTCGGGTTCCAAACGCAGTGAAGCGAGGCGAGGCGAGCCAGGTTCCAGAGCTGCACTGCGGTTTCCGGACAGCAGGAATGGGCACTCTGTGGGCTCCCGCAGGACGTGGCGGGGAGGGGTTGGTTAAGTTCCCTGGGGAACTGCTGGACCCCTCACATCCGCCAGGGGGCAGCGTGTTCTTGCGCCGGGCAGGGGTAAGGAGTGAAGAGCCTGGGCAGACCACCGGGAACAGGTGCGGGGGGGGGGGGCAGTCTTCACAGTAGGGAACAGGGAGGACAAAGGGGAACTCGGACCCAGGAAGCAGGAGGGAGTCAAAGGGCAGTGTTCCCCCTCTTCACAGTAGGGAACAGTGAGGACAAAGGGGAACTCGGACCCAGGAAGCAGGAGGGAGTCAAAGGGCAGTGTTCCCCCTCCCTGGCACACCTGCCCTGACACCTATGTCTTTGAACAAGCCTCACCCACCTGTGGTCTCTGCACCTTCCTGTAACTCCTCCCCATTTTTCCTGCCCCTTGGGCTCACCTCCTACTTTTAACCTCCCCACACTTCATAGCCACCTTGACACGCACCTGCCCTTGGCAGCCACACACCTGTTGGAGCTCTTCATGCTTCAACGGCATCTCCTCACAAATTTTCTGTGGAGCCAGGGCCTACTCAGACTAGCCAGGACCACTCTACCCATCTGTTTTGAAGGCTGTCTGTGACACCAATGCCAGCCCAAGTCCTCTGGTAGTCCAGAGAAGTTTCATCGGGCTCTTCTGAGACAGAGATTTGGAGGTGAGACCTTCATGCAGGGAGCGGAGGAGGCATGATAGGCTCGCCTCCATTTGCCCACCAGGCCCAGAAAAAGAATTTGGAGCTAGGGACACTAAAGGACTCCCCAGTTTCATTTTTCTATGGACGGCCTCCTGGAAGAGGGGACTTAGCTCAGAGAAGAGAGGCTGTTTGGATCAGGGTCCTTGAGAGCAGAGCATAGGAGTGGCCTTTTGGGAATGGAGTGCTCCTGGGACCTGTTGGGTGGCTCCCAGGCTTCTAAGGCCTCGAAAATTATTATGGGTTTTGTATTGAGTGACCCACGTTTTGATGAATTTTGGGGCTGGTGAATGAGGGTAGGCAGGCAGCTATGGGGTGGCTGGTGAATTACTCAAGGTAGAGAATGCAGGGAATGGGTTACAGAGCTGCTGCTGGAGGGAGCTTCTGAGGCCTGGGAACCAGATGGTTTGTTCTACCCCATGTGATCACGAGTAACTTACCAGTCGTTTTCAGACCGAAGGGTGCTGGGGGACAACAAAACACCTGCCAAGCAGCAAAGACAAAAGGGTGTGTTGATTTATCCACGTCCTGTGATTACTATCACAAAGCAGGTGAGGTGCGGAGAAAGAAGTCATAAGACTGTATCTGTCCTCCTAAGGTCACTAGGGAAGGCTAGACGCTCAAGTCAGGGTCTCTTTGGACTCCAGCAGTGGAGACCTGCTTCTGTCTCAAACCAGAGCAGCCCAGCTGCCCTTTCTACCCACAAAAGCCCCAAGGGTGAAGATTTAAAGACAAGTAGTGTTTTGTGCTGTCCAGTTCTCTTCCTCCTGGGCTGCAGAGCCAGGGCAGCAGCGGCCAGCTCTGAGAGCCAGGGGAAAGAGTACAGCCTGGCTGGTGAGGGTGTGGAGGGGGCTCCGCGGCCACCAGCTGGTTTCGAGGCTAGCGGGGCCGCGCGTTCCC